ATACACAGACAGGCTAGGTTCCCACAGTCACTGGGTTGTTGCTCTGTTCACTGCATAGTGCTCATGCTCCCTCTCTCTGTCTGTCTCTTTGCAACCCGTCCCCGTGTATATTTGTGTTTAGGGGATCAGGTGCTGGAATTCTAAGAAATATAGGATGCAGGGCCTGCCTGAAGGGTTGCAAGGCATTTGTATAAGACATATATGTCATATATTCATTTTATTTGAAACATACATGCTATTGTTTGGATGTGTTGTGTCCCCTGAAGGTTCATGTGTTGAAGACCTAGCTACTAGCTAGAGCATTTTGAAAGTGACTGGGTCATGAGGGCTGAGGCTTCATCAGTGGATTGATCCACCAGTGGAGTCATAATGTGATACAGGCATCACTGGGAGATGGAAACTGAGGAGGTGGAGCCTTGCCAATGTGGGTGCTGTGGGTATGCCTTTGAAGCGTATCTTGCTCCAGCTCCCACCCCCTCTGTCTGCTTCCTGGTTGCATGAAGTGAGCAACTTTGCTATATCATGTCCTTCTGCCATGATGCTAAGCCTTCCACAGCCCAGAAACCATGGAGCCAGTTGGCCATAGACTAAAATCTCTGACACCATGAGCCCCAAATCAATCTTTCCTCCCTTACATTGTTTTTCTTAGGCATTTGTGACAGAGATAAAGAGCTACCTCAGACAATGTCCATATGTCTTACACATGTATCCTGCCAGCCTCAGGTAATAGAATCTGTTAGGTTGGCATCCAAAAAGATGGCCTAAGACCCACCATTGCTTGGAATGGGATGCAGCAGTGGCATCAGAGAGCATCAGGATAATTTACTTTTTCAAAAAGAGCAGGAATGGGGGTTTGAGAGATGGCTCAGTAGTTAAGAGCACTGGCTGCTGTTGCAGAGGTCTTGGGTTCAGTTCCCAGAATCCACATGTTGGATTATAACCATCTGGAACTCCAGTTCCAAGGCATCTGATGCCCTCTTCTGGCCTCTGAGAACACCAGGCATGTACATGGTGCACATACATATGTGTAGGCACACACACACACATAAAATAAAAATAAATAAATCTTTTAAAAAGAGAAACAAGCCGGGCATGGTGGTGCATGCCTTTAATCCCAGCACTCGGGAGGCAGAGGCAGACAGAGCTCTGTGAGTTCGAGGCCAGCCTGGTCTCCATAGTGAATCCAGGACAGCTGGGGCTACAGGGAGACCCTGTCTCAAAAAGACCAAAGGGGAAAAAAAAGAGAAACAAAAAAAGGAGACACCCCCAGTATAAGGTATAAGATGCAGGTGACCCTGCATGATGTAACAGGCAGAACACATCTCCTGGAATGTATTCCTTCATGAATTCTTCATTCATCTGGGATATAGAACAACCTTCCACAATTTACAGGAAACAGTGGCTAGAAAAATAAGACAAAGGACACCAAGAGGCAGTGTTTGGACACCCTGTGGAAATGATGCTGTATTCCTTTCTAGCTGCAGGGCAGAAAGATGGCTCTTCTAGGCCAAAAGAGAGGGAGAGACACAGTAGCCTCAGCAGTACACATTGCCGCAGTGGATTCTGGTTTCCATAGTTAGCTCTTAGGACATTTTTGAATCAAAGAGAGAAAGGACTGCCAGGATAAAAGAGGGCAAGGGCAGGATGGGGGTGGGAGGAGGGTAGGGCATGTGGAGGATGAAGGGAAGGGCGGGGGAGGCCCGGGGGTTTACATGGTGAGAGCATCTTGGGGCTAAGTGAGGGTAATGACAGAAGAGAAACATAGGACCTTGGGGACAAAGAGAGGGCCAAGGCACGGCTTGTAGAGGTGGTAGGAACTGCGTAACCCCTGGGGCTACTATTTGGCAGCCCAGAGCCCTTGTGGAGAGAGCAGCTGCTAAATGGGTCTTCAGATGGTTAGTGTACAGCCACCCACTGACCGTGCTCCTGACTCCTGGAACCCACTCCACTTCCCTGGCATAGGCAGCTCAGCACAGCCTCCCTTCCTTACCCTTCTAGAAATATACTTAATGGCTGGAGAGCCCCCAAGGACTTGCCTGTCCTGCAGCACGGCCTGGGCTCATGCCTGCTGTTCCCTCAGGTGATGGGTGCTTTTCTCTCCCCACCTCAATGGCCACCTAAGGCCTGGTGGAGGCAACAACCTCCCACCCACACAGCCACTCTTCCCCATCTCTCTCCTGTCCCTTTTCCTTGTCCATGCTCTTCTTTCTCCCACTTATGGCCACTTACTAACTGGCAATGACATAACACCCATGCCTCAGTTTCCATAGCTATGCCACAGAATAAACACCGGTCCCAGCTCACAGGGTTGCTGTGAGGACTGGAACCAGTTGCTGTTTAGATGGGGTGGAGTAGCAGCAACACAGTTATGCAAAGGGCTGTCACCCTTGTTTCCCACCTATGCCGTAAGCTCGGGGTGTCACCTGCTGATTCTGGGTATTAATAAAGGACAGGAGTCCAAATTGGGAGGGTAAACACAGAAGCTGGAGTCCACCGGGTAACTCAGACAGAGGCTTCACTTTGTTTTCGGGATAAAGTTTTCATCAGTTTTATGGCTCTGTGGGAAATGTTTTGGAACAGTAATACAAATATCTATTTAGGAATCATGACTGGCTCGTTCCCTGATAGCGAACAATTTAAAGGGGCTTCTGGCGCTGCTGGGTTTATTAGCAAGGATGCTAATCAACTCCTTAGAAATAGGTTCCTTTCATGATTGTGATCAGTGTGTGTGTGTGTGTGTGTGTGTGTGTGTGTGTGTGTGTGTTGTTTTTTTTTAAAAAAACATTCTAGGAAAAGGTCAGATGCCTGTTTCTTCCCTGGCCAGTGGAAACTCTGGGCCTTTCCAGAACGGAAACAACCTCGCCCACCAAGGTCGTCCCGAGATTCACACTCTCCTTCAACAGAATCATGCAGGTGAACCACTTCAAGCTGGAGTGGCTCTCAGGAGTTCTGCCCTGAGACTTAGCCAGAGCCTACACAAGTCATGGTTGCAGAGAGTTGTCACGGGCTCAGACAGGACTTGCCAAGGGGCATTTCACGATCTGTCTTCAAGGAAGAAAGGCTGAATTTAAGCAGCTAAAGCCAGAGGAGGCTGTAACAGTATTTCACATGTGGGAAGCATATCTGAAGTTAGACTCAGCAAATCCTCTGTGCTTCAGGATGTGTGGTTGGAGAGCCGGGGTCGGGGAGAGCTGGGAGGCTGACTCAGCCTTGATCATCCAAACCATCACTGTGACACAGAAAGTCAGTGGCTTTGGGAACTTGTATGGATGTTGTCTCAGGCTCAGACAGTGAAGCCAGAGAAGACAACTCTTTTGCTACCCTAATTCTGCTAAGAGGAGACAAACAGTTACCCAGTGGCCATCTGAGTAGCTGTTACCTCCAGTCCATGCATCTTTGAGGTGTTAGTGTAACTAGCCAATGGTTTCCCGGAGAGAAATGTAAAACCGTGTGGCCACGGAAAGTACATCTGACTGCCATGACAATAAGAAAGGACCAGCTATTACAGTAACCTAAGACACGTAGCAGAGCAATAGTCAGGAGTAGATGGAGTCCTCCCTGGCACCCCTAATACCGACAAGTCTGACGGAAACATTGTGTCAAGCACCTCCTGCACCTAGTGTTTTATGGTACACTTCCAAACAGCCCACAACAACCCTTGACTTCAGTGGACCCTGCAGCCACCCAAAGAGGGTTTCCTGGTGTAAGGAGGGGTTCCACAACCTTGCCACCAGGCGATTAAAGTGAACAAAACATGTCCTCTAGAACTGCACATTCCAATCTATTGCCACATACAGGTACTTAAATTTAAAGGAATGAAAACTAAAACTTTGAGGTTCAATTCTTGAATCAAAACATCGTTAGAGATGGCTGGTGGCTACAATACTGAGTGGCACAATCTAGAACATTCTATCATCACACAAAGTTCTACTGGACGGCATTGCTCAAGATGTGCTTCCTAGGCCACTCAACCATTCAAAGTCATTCATCTGCTCACCGAAGCATTATTACACAATTCCTGCTGCTACTGTGATGATCTGAAAGTAACACTGACAAAAACAAGGAGCTGGCACCCCCAATTAAGACCTGCCTGTGCTTTGTCACCTTCTCCAGCATCGAATCATTCAGAGCCTACACATTCAGAAGAATGCAAGGATGCTTGCTTGGCACTTGCAAAGAATGCAGAATCCAACCTCTACTCCCAACACTTGCTAAAGCTGGAGAAACTGAAGAGGCCTGCTGTCACTGCCCCTGCCAGGATTCTCTGGGATCCACAAATGGAGAGTTACTTCTCACTTCCTTAGTCCTATTGGCAACCCTCAGGATCTGCCCAGGCTGGCATGCTGGCCTCATTCTTTCCTTACTTCCCTGCCTTCCCTGGTGACTCAACTGACCTCCCTGTTAACCCCAAACCCTTTCTTGGCTGACACCCTTCCCCACTGTGGACAGACTTTCCTTCGGCCTTGAAAGCTGGCATCAGCAGTGCTATTCCATGCAGCAAAGCCCCAGAGATGAACCACTTCCGGGCAGAGCACCGGGCGCCTGAGACTCAGCAAGCGGGTGGCCCAGGAGAGCTCACAGGAGCCAGGCACCCCATTTATTTCTCTGTTCTGGGTTCCCAAGTGCCTCTACTGCTGCCTCAAACTGTAATAGTGTCTACAAACAATTCGCGCCTCTGGAGTAGCATGTTCCCAGGGGGTAATTAACAACAGGCCCAGGGAGTCATCTTTTTTTAAAATAAAAGCTTTTAAAAGCAACGGAGATGAAAGCCACATGGGTGAGGCGGAATCTCTGCCCTTCTTCTGTATCCGAGAAGACACCTGGCTGACTCCTGGGAGAGGTTTGGAGAACACCGGCCTTGCCTTTATGGGATTTGCTCAAGATGTGTTAATTAGAAATCAAATATTGCATGTTTATTAACTGCAGCTTTCCTGATGAAGCATGCTTGGAAGAGGAATGATCACAAGAGCAAGAAGCAGGCTTTGTAGGGGATTCCTTACCATTTACCAGGCCAAGGTGGAAGACGGCATTCACCAGCACGCCTCCTTTCCGGAAGTGGTCGCTCATGTGCTCCAGCCAGCTGGCATCCAGACTGCTCACTGTCTGGCCATTCTTGGCAACCCGGAGCGGAATGGTGACGGGATAGTACTGCCGGCACTTCTGGTGGCTCTTCGGTCGGTTGAAAAAGGCGAAGATCTCCAATTCTGTTGGAATTTGTGAATAGGGTAGAGAGAGATCAATTGGTGAGACAAATCTGCCTCTCAGGAACCTGAGGAATGGCATCAGTGGTGAATTCCCTGAGGCCACACTGTCACCAGAAAATAAAACCATTTCCAGCAGTAATTGAGGCTGCTTTATGTAGACCAGGCTGGCCTCGAACTCAGAGATCCACCTGTCTCTGCCTCCTGAGTGCTGGGATTAAAGTATGGCACGTCTGACCTTGTTTTTGTTTTTTAAGACAGGGTTTCATGTAGCCCAGGCTGGTCTCAAACTTGCTATATAGCTGAGGATGACCTTGAACCTACTATCCTCCTGCCTCCGCTTCCTGGGTGCTGAGATTACAGGCATGGGTCACTATACCCAGTTTATGTAGGTCTGCAGATTGAACACATTTCCTGCATGCTGGGCAAGCACTCTACCTACTGGGGTGCATCCCTAGCTGGGACTAGGTTTTGAATCTGGAACATAATAGATAGCTGTTACTTGGGATTAATTCGCAATGTTAGGCATTTGGGAGAAGAACATAACAAATGAATACAAATAAACGCTCTGGAAGTAAAAGAAGGCACATTTGGGTAAAAGCTGGTCTTTAATAAAAGGGGTTGGGGTGGGGGATGTACAGAGGCTCATAAGAACAAAAATACTGCTCTAATTCCAGGAATCTTGTATATCTCTGAACTCACTATTTATAAACGGCACTGGTGTTTCCTGGGGCTGAACCCATAACACTTAATCAAGTACATCAAAAATACATCATTGATATGTAAAAATAAATACGTTCCCGTAAATGAAGGTTCTTGCCTGGAGTGGCAGGTCAGCTCAGTCAGCCAAGCAGGCCCTGGGAGTGATGCTTGGAGCTTTCCAGTCCTTCATTTATAGCCCAGAAATCAATATCTACCACCCAGGCACCGATCCGCGCCTGCTGTTCTTACTGCTAGGAGCAAATACCTGGAATTTCAATCTAAGTCCGAAGGTCTATTTTTGCACCGTTCATTTAGTTAAGCTCTCAGAGCCAACCCAGCTCAGAAAACCTTGTTTCTACAGGCTGGAAAATATCTTTTGAAATCAGAAGAAAAATCCCCATCCTTCTTCCAAACAAAAATTTAAAGGTCATTAACAATGGTTGACATTAAGGAGAAGGACAAAGCTCATGGGTGCTCTGGACAAGAGACACCTGCACCCACACTCTGGGAAGTGGGCTCTGAATTTCAGGACTACACCATTTTGGTGGCATCTAACTATGCTGATGTGTGAGGGGGGCACTCACGTGCACACACACACAGAGGCTAAAGCAGGACGTCAGTTGTCTCCCTCTGTTGCTCTCTGCCTTACTGTCTTAAGACAGGGTCTCACACTGAACTAGAAGCTTGCCATTTTGGCTAAGAATAGATGGCCAGTGAGCTCCCAGAATCTGCCTGTCTCAATCCCCCAATTGGGGTTACAGGCATGCATAGCCATGTCTAGCTTTATAGACGAGTGCTTGAGATTTGAACTCAGGTCCTCATGCTACAGAGCGAGCACTCTTTATTCACTAAGTCAGTTCTCTGCCACCCGGATTTAAAACAAAAACAAAAACTGGACCACTTTCCTTTATTTAAATAACTGTATTTAAGAAGGAAAGTTTCCTCCTGACCACAGAGACACAGCATTCCCACTTGCCCACTGTCATAGTGGGCACAGGAGGTACATCAACAAACACATCTGTCCCCATTACACCCAGAAAGTTGCCAATATAGGTAACATATCAATGCATTCTGGGGCAACGGATGTCTCTCCGCACCCCCATCTGGGCAGGCATCAGTGGAGGTCTCTGGGTCATGAGATCTGTTGTCACCGACAGTTGAGTTGACCAGAAGTTTTATCAAGCTATCCATCCAACAAAACCAATGTCTATCTTCAAAAACAGCCACTTGGATTGTAACCACCAACTGCAGTCTGGTCACTGTCCCCACCCTAACTACTGTCTCATCTACCTGCCTGATCTAAGATGCTGTCTCTAGGCCAGAAATGATTTCACATCAGAAATTAGGTCCCAGTGTGTGCAACAGCAATCACTAGACTGTCATGACAATGACATGCAAACTTTAGGAGTGGCATGGCACAGGAAAGTTTGTGATGGAAGGAAACAAGTCAGAGATTGGGGCTGGGGCAGGAATGAGCTGGGTGACCAGGCATTCTCCAGCCACAGGTGTCTGAGGTTTAAATAAAAGTAGCAGCCAGGTATGGTGGCACACCCCTTTAATCCCAGCAGTTGGGAGGCAGAATCAGGCAGATCTCTGTGAGCTCGAGGCCAGCCTGGTCTACATATTGAGACTCTGTCACAAAAGACCAAAATAATAATAATAATAAATAACAACAATAAATAAATGAAAGCAACAGAGGAGAAGCCTACTTTAGTGAATCTCTGGCTTCATTTGGATTGTTCAAGAGCAGACTCTGCATAGTAGTTGATCTGAGAGTGTAACGTGCATTGTATTGGTAAGCTGTGCTGTTTGAGTTCACTGAGAAGCTAGCTCTGGAAGCAGAGCTAGATCCTCTGCATTTCATACACAAGCATGTTTGTGTCAAGTATCCTCCAAGAACACATATCTGGAACAGGTTGCTGCCCCCTCCCCCATAACCCCATGACAGGGAGAAAAGAGAACAGCAAAACAGCTCAAGAGTAAAAACTATGCCCTTGAGAACAGCTAGAAAGCAAAGTGTTTTCCACAGATGTTACTATTGTTTATCCTATAACATAAAAGTGCCTATAGCGGGAAAGAGAAGCCAGAGGTTCAGCTGTGGGAAGCCCAGCTATGAAGAAAATGCTGTCGGACACGCCAGTGGATGCCTCAACTTCCCTAGATGATTTCTGCTGAATGTTTTGGGCACAAGATTTAATGATGTTTTGCTGTCTATTTATGTATTTATCCCTGTTTATTCTTTTACTTTGGCTTGCTGAACAGGGAATGATGAGACAGAGAGAGAGGGAGAGAGGGAGAGAGAGAGAGAGAGAGAGAGAGAGAGAGAGAGAGAGAGAGAGAGAAATTGAAGCTAATGACCACACCTCAGATGCACCCACCAAGGATCAAGGCAGCTGAACATCCATGGCTTTGACTGAATGTTGCTCCCGAGGCACTAGTTCCGAGGGACACCTTCCCTGCCCTGTCCTGCAGTTCTTATCCCTAAAATGCCTACATTATAAGAGGCTAAGCCAGAAGTGTCTGCAGGTGACCTTGTGGTGGTGGTCTAGAGCCCTGTCCTGTGGTCTGTTACCATCAAGCACAGATGTAACAGAAGATGAAACTGCTTCATGGAAGAAGCACGGGGGAATTTGGATGTGGCCGTGGCCACAGTCCAGGAACACATGGTAGCATTTGAGCGCAGAGTAGGACCCTCCCTACTCACATAGCATAATAAAAATACTACTCTCCCCAAAGCATAGTGCAACAGAAATGGAGCAAGGCTGAAGTGAGAGGTGAGAAGGCAGGGAAAGGCAGGGGTGGGTGGAAGGAGGGAAGGACTGCCAGACAAGGTAGACAGGCCCCACAGCATCCAAGCTTTCCTGGCTCCACCCTCCCAGGGGACAGGATCGAAGCCAGAGACAAAAATAAATTTCTCAGGAAGGAAAGGGAAACGCCGTTAGAATGAACCGCTGAGGCATTAGTGGCGATGAAATATTGGGAGAGCCCCAATTTCAGATGCGTAGCCCTTTAGTCAACTCCGGCATCCCACCGTCTCCGTTCACATGGAAACCAGCCAAGAGAAACTGTCTAAAAATCATGTGCTTTGATGTTCTTCTATTCTGAAACTCCAACACACATCTTCACATGAGCAGCGACCAAAGATTCAGAAGAGGAGCCCCGAGTTTGTTTAAATTTTCTCAGCTGCTCTGTAACTCTGCCGTGATCTGGACTGGAATAGTTTTCCAGACTTCAGAAAATCCCAAAGGAGTGAGGAAGGCATTGTTTCTGAGGATGTTCTAAGAGGCAGGACTTACAGGGCACCCAGGGAGCAGACGACAGTCTTCTTGTCCTGCTTCCTTGACACTGGGCCTTGCTTGGTCTTATTTAGACTCCTTATGCTTAGCAAGATTTCTACACCATGGTAGGTGCCACACAGGTTTTTAATTGATCTGGACAGGGTAAGTGGAAGACATGAAGACCCAGGCTGGGGACAGTCTGGACACAGCTAGTCCCTTGGTCCCATCTACTCAGGCCTTGATAAGCTCAGAGAAGTGGGCAAAGAACAGGTGTTCTGTACTGAGCCTGAACCCAAGTGTTGAGACATACAGTCAGATGGAAGTCTGCAGTCTATCTGAAGGTGTAGCACTAGAGAGCTGTGACTTGGGAATGAGCCAAGGGGGTGCTGGTTGGGTCCTGCTATCCAAGGAGTCCTCTGGCCCGGAGGGAAGAGGGCTCAGAGTTGAACCTGAAGTTTGGGCTCCAAAGCCAGACTTAAGAAAGTCAGCTCGGTTGGAAGGATCAACTAAGAATCAGGCATAGCTGTGTGGAGATCACCCTGAGCTGAGTGCAGACTGTAGTCCTAAGTCTTAAGACTTTCATTAAGGCAGGATTATGAGTGCTCTGCTGGGAAGGCAGAAGGGCCTACAGCTGTTCCATACAGATTCCCAAATCTGGAAATGGATGATGCCTCCGGCTTCCATCAGGCTCCTCAGGTACAAGCACAGGATACCTCTGGGACAGCGTGAGGTCACCTGCCTTGACCACAAAGGGCAGGAACCATCTCATGCAGAGTGACTTATGGGGACCACTCGTGAGCACCAAAGCAGACTCAGACACATGAACCACAGCAGAGTGTCACCTTCATCACCACACCTGACTCTCTCTCAACCTCCATAGTAGAGGCAGGACTAGCTCTGTGCCTGGCAGGGTTAAGTGGGATCTCCCCGAATCCCAATCAGTGAATGGCAGAGCTGTCTTTCAAACCTCTAGCTCTGAGCTAGTCCCCAAACACAACAAGAGGCTAACTTACTAGGATTCAGAAAGCAGGCGTTGGTAGTCACAGGTGGGGACATTTGTTCATTGACTTGGTGAAAAGTTGGAAAGAAAGTAGTGGGTGGCACAGGTGGAAAAGGCAGAGTCTCTGGGTCTAGCTCCTCCCTGGACATGGGGAAGACACTTGACCCTTGAAGGAGGCCACGTAACAGAAAAGCCCCAGATCTCAGATGCTAACTGCTTAGGAGGTCACTCAACAGAGTCCCCTCAGCCAGAAAGGCGACTCACCCCAACTCTGGCTGGCATGCCTAAGTGTGTGTGCATGTGTGTCTATGAAGATCAGGGTTTGGGAGACTGGGTACTTAGCTTGGGAACAGTGAGAATCGTGTGAACCTGGCCTCCCTGCTTCTCTGGGCAAAGGTGTAGCAAAGGGAGGCTAGGGCTGTCCCTGTGTGAGCTCAGGTGGCTACCACATGGACCTCAATCAACAGAAAATCCCCTCGACAGGAAATCCAAATCAAGGAGCGGGAAGAGGACTAAGAAGGGCCTATCTGCTGGACCACACTGCTGGGATGGGGTTAGCCTGCTTGTTCCTAGGGACCCCAAAATCCCTGCATGAGCAGTCCCTGCCTGGATTCCTTTCCCTATTGTCCTACATAGGAAACAAATTAACAGAGGAAGAGAAGGAGGGGGAAGGAGGGAGGCTCCCTTTGGATTCTTTTTTAATTGTCTTGCTGTGATTGCCAGTTTAAGCCCACCTGGCAGAAAGGCGCAAAAACACTTCACCCTCCTCAGGGGGCCCTGGGAGAAAGGCAAGCAGAGAGTGGAGCAGGCTATGGGATAGGGAGGGAGGGTAAGGGTACTGTGTGTGTTTGGGGGGCACAGTGAGCGGACTTCCCAAGGAAGGAAATAGCAAAATTCCCCAGGAAAAAGATTAGGAGAGACGCCAAGGTCAGGTGAGGGCTATGACCGGCAGAGACTGGGTCCTTGGATGTCTGGTCTTCAGGGAGGCTGTCTGAGGGCAGGAGTGGGGACTTGCCTTATCTGTGAGATGGGTGCCACAGTAGCATCTCCTGTCACAGTTGTGGTGAGGAGTAATTGAGATAACACCTGGGAAAACTGGACCAGAGCCTCAGGGTGAACATGCTCAGTACTGTCATCTGTCCACACCCTGCACAGACCTGCTTGCCCACGAGTAACCTCTGTGTGTTTACAGCTTTATGAAAAAGCCACAGAGGGAAAGAGGAAAACAGTGAGCTGCCTATGAGACAGGGCCCGGGAGCCTGGGCTGCATGTGCAGAGGGAGGTAGCTGTCTACCTAGGGAGACTGAGGTGGGGGTTTGAGACCCCAGCCCATGGCCTACCACCACAGCTGGAAATCCCACAGACCACTGGGCTGAGGCCTCCATAGACACATATTAATACACTGTTTCCCACAGGTTCTGAGTTTGTGAGAGGAAGGGTCTTAAGGAAACGGGGCAGGGGCTGCAGGCCAACACACTGGGTATTGGAGGGGTTTTATATATTCAGTCAAGGGAGGGAAGCAACGAGCCACAAGGGCAGCAGCTGAGTACTGGGCATCTACCTGGAGTCAACCAAGAAAGCATGAAGTCTGGGATTCATGGAGAAGGGTGGGTTCTAGAACATTCTAGAACACTCTAGGCTTATATGCTCTCCTGACAGACTCTCAGGATTAACTGCCTCCTTTCCTTTTTAATTTATTTTTATTTTATATGTATGAGTGTTATGCCTGCATGTATGTAAGTGTACCTGTGTCTTGCAATGCCTGCAGAGGACAGAAGAGGGCACTGAATCCCCTGGGACAGGAATTGTGGACGTTTGTTAGCCACCATGTGGGTGCTGGGATTTGAACCTGGGTTTTCTGCAAGAATAGCCAGTGTCCTTAACCACTGAGCCATTTCTTCAGCCCCAACTTCCTCTTTTCGTAAAGTCAGGATTCTGTGAGGGGTGGCACAGTAGAGCTCAGGTCCCAAATAATACTTCATATTGGGGAGTCCATAGCACCAAGCACACATGGAGCCTTTCCACGGGAAGTCACCGCTCCACCTTATAGAAGGCAGGTGATGTATCTGGACAAGACTACACATAGCTAGAAAGTTTCCACAGACACTGGGTTCTTACCCATGATGCTGCTTGCTTCCCATGACTCCTTGTCATCTGTTCTTGGCATTTATGCCTGACCTGGGCCCTCACAGTCCTCTGTAGTCCTGGACTGTAGAGAGGGTTCCACAGATGCCCTTCCCCTCACTCAGAATTCAGCACACACATCTTCCAGGCTCAAATGGAGTGTCTCAGGAGGCTCATACCAGCTCTAGATTTGAACTACTCTCAGGGTGGGCCAGAAGTCTACCTCAAAGGAATGAAAAATTGCACGGGAAGCTCTATGTCATTGAGTATTTAAGAAACAACAATGTCTTGATTAACCAATAGGCCTAATGAAGCTCAGAACCGAGGCAGCCCCGGTCTTTCCCTCTAAGCAGCTTAGCAATTATCTCTCAGAACGGACCATCCGATAATTTTCTTCTCAGGAAGTACCAAGGGACCAAAGGAAACAATTTCACCAGTTTCTGCTCCCTAAGTCCCCATGTTCCTTATGCCTTGGAAGAGGCCCATTTCAAGCACTAGTAAAGAAATAACAACAATGGTTACTGGGGACACGATCCTGAAGGGTCTAAACAAAGAGCCCCTTTTTTGAGTCATCTACTGTCAGATGACTCCTGGTCACCTTCCAAAGGCCAGGGAGGCCTCATTGCTCACGCAAGAACCTCATTCTCAGGGAATGGCCAGATGTGATTTCCAGGAGAAAGTAGAGAAAAGGGAACTATGAGGTGGAAGTGAAGAGAAGAGAAACTTCTCCCCCTACCCACAGAGCGCTTTTGGATATCTTGTCAGTCGATTACATCAGACAGACCAAGCAGAGAGGTGTCGTGGATGGTTGCGTCTACCTGTGGTCTTATGCCAGATCTGCCAGCTTCTAGCCTGGGAGTGATGAGAGAGCTCGCCTGACTCTCAGGCTAGATGGAGAGATTGGTCATTTTAAAAGCTCCCTGGCACAGGGCCTGGTAGTCAGAGGCATTAATAATGTTGGCTATTACAGTCTTGCTGCTGTGTGAAATTGTCAATGCAATGAACACACGCTAATGGCCATTAGCATGTGATTAAAAGGACCCACATGCTGGTGACCTCCGCCTGGCATGTTCTCACATGAGCCACCTTCCAGTGGCTTTCTTATTCCGAGTTAGGCAGGAATTCAAGAGTGGAATGTCTGAGCTCACTGGTGAGTGGCCCACAAACACTACCTCAGACAACACACCATGGGCTGAAATAACTCAGTCTAGAAGTCCCTTCTAGCATGGCCCTTAAAATTTTTTTTTATTTTTTAAATTATTTAAATATTTTATTTTTTTGTTTGATGTGTATGAGTGTACTGCCTGCATGTATGTAAGTGCGCCCATGTTGTGCAATGCCCTTGGAGGTCAGAAGATGGTGTCGGATCCCCTGGAAATGGAGTTACAGATGGGGTTGTTAGCAGCCATGTGGGTGCTGGGAACTGAACCTAGGTCCTCTGCAAGAGAAGTCAGTGCTCTTAACTTCTGAGCCATCTCTCTAGGCCCCAACATGACCTTTTGGAATACCTTTAAGTCAATTTCACTGGGCTCTTCTCTCCCCATAAGTCAAAACTAGATCAAGTAAACAGCCAGGCAGCCCCATAGCTGCTTGATAAACTTTGTCTTGTTTGATGAACTGCTGTGTCTATACGCTAATTCTATTTCTTTCCCCTAAGAGGCCCTGGGGAAGGGTGAAAAGCTGTTAACCTCTCTTTAAGAGGGTCGGAACTCCCAGCGCTGACATACTTACCCCTCAAGAGCGGCTCTTCACATACATTCAAGGGGTCGCCCTGGGGTCCGGTGAGCACTGAGCTCACCCCCCGTGGTGGAAACTCGCCAGCTTCGGCCTCTCCTGAGGGGCTGCTGGGCTGCTGAGTCCCAGGCACCTCCTCTGTGGAGCCCAGGCTGGGCTCTGCAGGGGCAGCACCCACATCCTCAGCCCTTGGGTTCTCATTCTCCAAGGATGTGCGGTCCCCACAAGCATGTTGCATGTCTCTGGAATCCACAATGCTGTTGGTAGTGAATGTGAGAGGGCTGTGGCCCGCCGAGTTCACAGGGGACTGGTACTGAGGCACCACACCAACAAACTTCAGGCCCTGACTGGCAGCATCCTGCACCTGGAAGGCAACGGAAATGAAGGGAATCTTGTAAATGGGATGTCTGTCAGAGGGACATGATGTGGCCAGACACTGAGGCCTCCAGAGATAGTCAGACCTGGTGCACTTCACTGTTGAAAAAATTAAGCATTTGATTATTAAAGACTTATTTTTATTTATGTGTCTGTGTATGTGTATGCCATGTGTGTGCAGGTGCCCCCAGGGGCCAGAAGAGGGAGCTGGATACCCTGGAGCTGGAGTCATAGGCAGTTGTGAGCTGCTTGATGTGGGTGCTGGGAGCTGAACTCAGGTCCTCTGCAAGAGCAGCAAGCTCTCTTAACACTTGAGCCAGCCTCTATTTATTTTTGAGACAGGGTCTTACTGTGTAACCTGGACTGGCCTTGAACTAGAGATCCTCCTGCATCTGCCCCCAGAATGCTGAGATTGTGGGCATGAGCTAAAACTGGCTTGGATGTGTGTGGTATAAGTATATGTAATTAGTGTGGTTGTGTGCATGTATACATGTGGGTATATGTGCACATGTATGCATATATGTGGAGGCAAGAGGTAGATACTAAGCATCTTTCCTTAGTTGCCCTCCATCTTTATTTTTTATTGATTTTTTTTGTGTATTTCATACAGAACATCTCAAACAACCTTAATCATCTTTATACCCCTATCCCCACTGGCACCCTCCCCCACCCCGCCCGCCCACTGGAGCCCATATACTCTGTCATCCCTGTTACTGCCCACTGTGTTGTCAGTGCCCCTATCCATTCCCCAGTGCAAGTCCATCCACTGAGTCTAGTTAGCCTATCTATAGTCCCTTGTTTTAGGAAGATCAACTCTTCATCTATCAGCAATCAGTTGCCAACATTCTTTTAGTTAAGATGGAGGTCTGCTGTTTATTATCCCAGTTCTATGCCGGGTTACTGTCTGCCTGAGTTTGCAAAGGACTTGTGTATACTGCCATATACACCATTGCCATAGAATCATATGAGCAGGTTCCCAGGAGCTTGTAGGACTCTGTTTCCATATGGTCATGTACATCCTCCCTGGCTCTTACAGTCTTTCTGCCCCCTCTTCCACGATAGTCCCTGAGCCTTGGGTGGGTGAAGTCTAATAAAGGGGTCCCATCCAAGGACCATTATTTAGCAAACTCTTGATCTCTACACTTTGGCCATTTGTTGTGTGACCTTTTGTGTTCCTGGCCCTCCACTGCACGAGGGAGCTTCATTATTGAGAACTGATTCATTAGTGTCCTCTTTATTTTTTAAAACATTTTATTATTTTTATTTTATGTACATGAATGTATTGCCGGCATATATGTAAGTGCACCCATGTTGTGCAACACCTGTGGACATCAGAAGAGGGCATTGGATTCCCTGGAACTGGAATTAGTGATGGTTGTTAGCTGTCATGTGGGTGCTAGGAACCAAACCTGGGTCCTCCGGAAGAGCAGTCAGTGCGCTTAACCACTGTGCCATCTCCCCAGTCCCCCATTTTTATTTTTTTGGAACAAGGTCTCTCAATGAAACCGATCTGGCTGGCCAGTGAGCCCCGGGGATCTACTTGTTTCTCTCCCTCCAGCCCCCAGCTTGGGTTTACAAGCATGCACCACCACCTCAGGCTTTCAACACGGATTCTGGGGATCCAAACTCAGGTTCTTGAGCGTGTGTGGCAGGCACTTCACCAGTGGAGCCAGCCCCCTGGTCTCTCTTCTCTCTTTCTCTCCCTCTCTCTCTCTCTCCCTCCTCTCGAGTCTGGACAAAGGATAAGCTCAGATGAGCAGAGCTTGAAAGAAGAGGAAGTTCATTTGGGTGTTAGTTTATTTTTTCTTTTCTTCTTCTGAAATCACCTGCTTCCTGCCCAGGAGGCCAGCACATGAAAACTCAGTGTGATTACCCAGCCATCTCTTAACAGCTGGGTGGCAGTGTAGGACCCAAAGAACTTCCTTTTGCAGATAGTAGCTTGGGCAGAGGAAGGGACTCTGATGCTCTGTGCTGCCTTCTGAGCCCACAGGAAGGGCATGAACATCTGCCTACAAGGCATCCTGGGACACTTGGACTCTCCCTGAAAAAGACTGAATTTAGGTCACTGAATTTAGTAGTCAGAACTTTGAAAGAAAAACTGAAAGTCACAGCCTACTAACATCAAGTAAGAGGCAGTCAAAACTAGGAGGTGAACTCAGGAGGTTTTCCAGGCAAGGATACTCAAATCATGTGATCCACAGGCAAGGAGGTGGAGCCCTTGGAGCCGTCCGAGTCACTGACCCCTAAGAGGGATGATCTCACAAACCCTTGAGGCCTCTATAATCTATTACCATCAGGTAAAAAGTACCAGCATGAAGCTACTGAGACGCTGCAGCCTCCTTAGACAAATTGCCTTGCTAAGCAGAGGGTCATTTTTGGTTCCAAACTGAAAATTCTAGAGAAAATATCTACGGTTGTTGTGGATCTATGCTCCAGTCTTTCTATAAAGTCTAGCCTGTTCCAGACACAGCAATAACAGTTGTAGCAATTACCAACAACAGTAGACCTACCATGTGCTGGGCACTCCAGTGTTATTTTATGCTATTGTTTTTTTAAAATTATTGTCTCTACTTTAGATGAGGATGTTGAGGCCCAGAGGTGAACATCCTAAGCCCGTAGCAGTCAGAGTTCACACCTGGCCTGGCCTGACAAGGCAAACACAAGACCAAGTGCTTCAGATATATATGTACTGTGTTCATCATCGGCTTTATGTCACTACAGGCAAATACCAGGGAGAAACACTGTAAGGCAAGGCAGGGTTATTTTGGTTCACAGTTTGAGTTTCCACATGTCACAGCAGGAAGGCATGGGGAGGGAGGAGAGCAACCCACATCACATGGCCAGGAAGGGGGGTAGAGAGAGAGAGAGAGAGAGAGAGAGAGAGAGAGAGAGAAAGAGAGGAGACGGAGAGGGGGAGGGAAGGAGGGAGAGACCGACCTCTGCACTGGCTGGCTCTCTCCCCCTTTCATTCTTCCCAGGCCCTAGCCTACTCAGTGGTGTGATCCAAATTCACATGTTCACAGCTGGTCTTTGCTGGTCCTCTCTGGGAAGATCCCCAGCACCCCAGGCACCTCTGCCATCCGTTGGGTGCTTCTCAGTCCAATAGGGAACTGCCTTCGTCTGCTCACAGGTCCACTGTTGACTGAATCATTCTCCTTTGAAGAAGGAGAAAACAGTAGGCAGGGATTCCCCTAAAGTCACCCTTCTCATTCTGAAAATTCACTCTTTAATCAATCTGTGATAGCCACCTATTTTAGAAACTGTTTTGGAAACTTCTGAAGGAAGACACAGATAATCAAATAAAAAAAAAGTGTGAGGAGGTAATTACATCAAAGAACCTTCAGTTAACAAATGCTACTATCCTCAAAGCATAGCTCTGAGCTTCCTGGTAACACAGGCAAAAAAAAAGAGAAAGGCAATGAATTTTACAGACCTCACATGAAGTGAGGGAACAATTCCTGGTCCTACTGTTTTACTAGCCGTGACTATTGATGTATATTTTTAAAAAAATCTGCTCCTGAGGGTTTAACCACAGATTAATCTCCAAGGGTTGATGGCCATGGCAAGGGTTTGAGACCTTCAGAGAGTCCCAGACCTGTTCCTTCCTGGCATGGAAAAATCACAGAGGGTTACAAAGTTATCCATGCCTCAGTTTTCTCATCTATAAAATAGGGGAACTGGGTGTGCCTCACAGTTGCCTTGAAGAGCAGACAATGTATGGTGAGTTCAGGGGTGCAGAGAAGGTTCCTGTATCTGCCATCATGGCTGAAAGTTCTCTCCTGTCATGCTGGGGCTTTAGTGGCCCTGTGGAGGCTGCGGGGAGCCATGAGAGAGAAAAGCAGAGAGCTCTTCACTCAGTGCCTCTTCTAACCCTGTCCTTGCTCACTCTGGACACCCATGCCCAGAGTTCCCAACTGCTAGCAGTTCCCAAAGTGCTGTTCCCCTGGGCTAGCAGCAGTGTCCCCTGAGACACTGTCCTTTGTGAGCAGTGTAGGTCTCAGACACACACAGACCTACTGAGTCAGCCATTGGGGGGGGGGTGCCTTGCACCCTGAAGATGGCACAGGGCAGCCCATGTCTGGGTGTCACTATCGTGGAGCCTTCCGCACGAGGCCTGGGGTATTTTGCATTGCTGTGTCCCCAGTGATGTCCAATGGGTAAAAGGCACTTAATGCATACTGCAGGAAATATTAATAATGAATGAATGCATATCCTTCCTCCCAGAAGAAGCTCCCTCAAGAGGAGCTGTGACAGATTAAGTTTCCAGCTCTGGAATCTTCATACTGGCCTGGACCAACACATCGTGATCAGTACCAAGGAGGCTGCGGCAGGAGGACTGAGAGTTTGAGGCCAGCCTGGGCTACATATACTTCAAGATCAGTTCAAGGATACATAGTATGACCCTGTCTCAAGAAAGTCAAAAAACAAAAAAAATCAAGCAAACAAACCACAAAATTGGCCAGGATCATAAGCAATGAGGTCACAAACACAATAGGGCTGACGTGAAGCCTTGTGGCAGAACTGGAACGTATACACCTTAAAGCATTTAAATCCCCCCCCCTTTTCTTTGGTCTTTTTTGAGACAGGGTCTCCCTGTAGCCCCAGCTGGCCTGGAACTTGCTATGTAGACCAGGCTGGCCTTGAGCTCACAGAGATCCTCCTGCCTCTGCCTCCCAAGTACTGGGATTAAAGGCGTGTGCCACCACGCCCGGCAATCCCATTTATTTTTTACAATATTGTGCTTCACAAAACTAACTGGAGGTCCAAATCTGCAGGAGGTTTTGAAGAATGAATGGGAGTTCAGCACATTATCTAACAGCAAGGAAGAGGGGCAAGCCACATCAAAGGCAAGTGAAGACTATCAGGGCAGAAGGCTGATGGTGGGCAACAGCCTGCTGTGCTACAGAAACCTCTAGAAAGATTTCTGAAACATGGCACATGATGTCAGGAGCATCAAAAATGAGGCTGGGTAGAAATCACAAGGATGGT